TACTGTAGTTGTTAAAGTGAAGTATGGACTGTATGAAGAAAAATTTGCATTGAATATTTATTTGTTGTATTAAGCAGTAGGACTGCCTGCCGGACGATATTTTAACTTTTTATTTTGTCACTTGTTTCATTACTTCACTGTAGTATTTCCATGCTAATCTGGCCCATAAGCCACACCCCTTTTCTGTACTAATAGCTGATTGGTTCATAAAAATTTCAAACTGAATGTGTTCACAATTGGTAAGTAGACCTGTTATTATCTAAAATAATGTTAAATATCAGAACTATCAAAATGCAAATAATTTCAAGGCATTAGCACTTAAGAGAGAATGTTAGAAAATTTTTAATATTTATCATAAAAGGTCGATATACATATGGGCTTATATACACACGCAGTTCGGGGGAGGTAAGACGCTCAGGGGGACCAATCAACTATTTGTAGCTATAGACAAGGGGCGTGGTTTATTGGCCAGGTTAGAATGGAAAGGGTATAGTTTTATCTTCACAAAACTCACTTTTTGTACTTAAGATATATGTTGTAGAAGAAAGAATTATTAATGTTAGTATTTCCTCTTTGTTTATGCACCAAGTGCTGTTATTACATTCATCCAGTGAGCTGTAGCCAATGTTAAGCAATGTCAGTAACCCATTATACCATGCAAAGCCAGTCTAACAAGCACCTTGGTAGCCCAAATTTTCCTTATTTATTCAGAAGTTGTATATAAAAAGCTAAATATGGTATTATTGTTCTAGCATTTTAATCTTTATTTGCATTTGCTAATTAACCTAGAGCTGAAGTGTTGAAACATTTACAGGTAGGATGAAGAAGTGGAGGTTAGAGTCAATTGCCAAATCATCTGTTGCTAGAGCATCTCTAAGCAAAATTATCTTGGTGATTCCTGCAGTTTGAATAATCATATTCATAAAATAGGTTATCCAATGTGGCTGTTTTGGCTTCACTGAGGTTTTCTCCTTTTCACATGGCCTTATTTGATTTGATATCAGCATAAAACCTCAGTAGTTTGTCACATTTCTCCTTAAAGCCATAAATTATAGTTACTTCACATTACGGTCATGGAGTTTCCTTATTGTGTTTTGGAAAATTTCCACTTTTCTTTGATGTTAAGCAATTTATATTTTGTTTTGCAATGCAGCACTTGGTTCCATCACTTTGGTGTTTGTTTCGAGCCATTTTAAGAGCAGTACACCTTGTTAGAATTCACAATACTCTCCAAGTGATGAAAGAGTAATGTGGGCAGCACAAGCTCACCATCAGTTGGGATGCTCAACCACACTGTGTCTAGGAAGTTCCAACAAGTACCACCGGACCATGTAGTATCAGACGAAAAGACGTCCCTTATTGGGAATGTCCAGTAGTCAAAAGTCCTTTATTGAGTGGGTTTACTGTACGAGTGTATTTGTAAACAAATTCACCCAAGTGATTGGCCCATATTGTTGGGGATGGAACCTAGAATTTTTTAAGAGATTCTATTACTGTACATAAATATTATCCTAACCCCATTCATGATTTTTACCATGTGTGAAGTATTTCATGATGCAACAGTGCAAAAACTTGTGCTTAAATATTGATAATCTTCAACAGACAACCTTGTGAAGAGTGTTGCTGCGTGTGCAGGTTCAGGATCATCAGTGCTACGTGGAAATAGCGCTGACTTGTGGCTAACTGGGGAAATGTCTCATCATGAAGTTTTGGATGCCATTCATCAAGGAACCACAGTGATACTCACAGATCATTCCAATAGTGAGCGCAACTTCCTCAAGACCCTCCAACCTCGTCTTTATAGTGCCCTTGATCAGAAAGTTCAGGTTCTCATTTCAGAGAAAGATAGAGATCCACTAGAAGTTGTCTAGATAGTCATTTGATTTGTTACACAGATATGTGCCCTGGATCAGTTTTTGTTCTTGAATAATGATTTTAGTTAAGAAATTCATTTGTATCTCAATGTTTTAACAGGCAATAGAGTTTCAGAATCCTGCTCATCAGCATACTGCAGACTGGTATATTTTAAAACAATGGTGACACATTCAACAATACACTCCATGTTTTGTTTGTTATTGGCAATACATTGAAGGTACTGATGGCATTCCTTGTAAACTGTGTGGCTATTTAAAGTCTCATACATTATATCATTACATTATGGAAGGTAACTTTATCAGTATTTAGGGGTGATGGCATTACTGATATTACAGAGATGGTTTGTTATTTAATAAATAAAAATATGGTTAAGAATGTAATGAAAAAAATCTGTAAGTTTAACATAAGATTGTAGATTATATGCATATCTATTTGTTGTATACATATCTGATTTATGATTAGTAGAATGTTAAAGAGCTCTTGTTAAGACTAACTTTGGGTGGGCTAGTTAGCATGCTAACCATCTCCTTTTGATGTAATTGTCAATAAATGTTTTGAATTTGAATTTGTTTTGTTTGTATATTGTTTCATTGTTTAGTCTGACATTACTATGATTATATATATAAATATATATAAATATATATAAATATATATATATATATGTATATATATACAGTTGTACCCCACTTAACGCGGTCAATAGAACCCAGAGGGTCCCGTGTTAAGTGAAATCCGCGTTAAGTGAACAACAGAACATATGGGATTAATTCCAATAGAAACCAGCCCGACCCCCAAACTCCACTTTTTGAAGACACATAACTATGTTGTAGTAAAAATAACATCTTAATTTTATGATGGTACATGCACACAATTAATACTTAAGAGAAATAGAGAAATACAGTCGCCAAGTTAATGTCCATTCAAATAATGGACTCAACTCCCTCCCCCTCTTCTCACACTACACTGCTGGCTCTTCCCTCTCTGAGAAATTTTGGGGGGAAAACCACTAAATTTTAATAAATAATACCTCAAACTAAAGTTAGGATAATACAATTGACATTGCTGGATTCCTTGTAAGACCAGGAATATTTTGAATATATATGTCATATATTTTGCACAAAAGATAACATATTTACTAGAGAAAACATTTTATCTAAAATTTGTATGTCTAATGCAAAATATATGATGTTTATATTCAAAATGATCACCAAATTATAAGAATTCCAGCAATGTAAATTATATTCTGGCCGGGTAATTTGTATGAATTTTATGAGCTAAAACAGGCAGTCAGGCAGGGTGGCGGGTGGCCGGTGGGGCAAATCTAAAAATAGCGTCTCGAGCCGGACACTCACCGCGTATATGTGGAAAAAATCCGTGTTAAGTGAAAGTTCAGCTCTGGCGAGGCACCGCATATATGATAAAACGCGTTAAGTGAAACCGCGTTAGGCGGGGTAATACTGTACTGTATATTGAATGTATATATTATATATTATGTTACTTCTTACGAAATGTGTTAGGCACGTTGTAACCAAGAACAGAGAATAAACAGCCAGCCAGACAGACCATGTGACTCTTCATTCTCCCATTAAATAACCCAAGATACTACACAGGCCCTCATATATGGACATATAAGATTCATCACTAATGCATAGGCCACAGCATCGGCCGTTTTATATTTTAGTGGGACCAAGACCACGAACCTGGAAAAATGATCCACACACACACTAAGACGTACTTTGATCCCTGATGACTCATCGGGAGTTGTAACAAGTCAATAGCGACCGTGTCAAACGGACGCTCTGGTGTAGGATATTGTAGAATCGGGGCTGGTGATCCTGTAGAACCTTTATGTTGAGCACATGCCAAACAATTAGCAATGTGTAATTCTATGTCTTTGAAATACTTCCATAGTAATTCCGCTAAGCATTTGTCACGACCCTGGTGACCTGCCTATGGGACGTCATGGAACAATGTTATAACCGCTTTACACAACGTGTCAGGTAAGACTATTTGAGAAACATTACCCTCTGGCGTCTTTTTCAACCTATGGAATATGTTATATCGTAATTCAAACTGACTTAAGGGAAGAATTAATTTGGGGAGTTTAACATCCTCTCCCGATTTGAGAGCAAAAATAACTGCTGATCATAATGGGTCGCGTCGTTGCTCATCTTCCAGTTGCGAAAGAGTGAAGGTTGATACAGGCATTACTGGTGCTATATTTCTTGACAGAGCGTCGACGACAACATTCGCCCTCCCGGGAAAATATCTAAACTCGGGGTTAAACTCTTGAATTGTCAGATACCAGCGTGCTAATCTGCCTGATAAGTTTCTGCCATGGAACAGCTCAGTTACTGCCGCATGATCAGTAAAAACAGTTATCTTATATCCAAAGATAAAGTCTTTAAATTTCTTAAGTGCCCACACAACGGCTAACGTTTCTAAATGCGTTACCGAATAACGTGTTTCAGCATCAATAAGTTTGCGACTTGCAAAAGCTATCACTCTAAACTTCCTACGCGTATCCTCTTGCATGAGCTCGGCTCCGACTCCATGTCCGGAAGCGTCAGTACAGAGAGTGAAAGGTTGAGTGTAGTCTGGGAATGCTAGAACAGGGGCATTGGTAAGCGCTATCTTCAATGCCGCAAAACTATTTTCGTGTTCAGCGTCCCATATAAACATTGCTTCTTTCTTAAGTAACTTTGTTAGGGGCGATGCTAATGTTCCATAGTTCTTGATAAAGGAACGATAATATCCAGATATGCCAAGAACACTACGCACATGATCAACTGAGATAGGACGTGGGAACTGAGATACAGATTTGACTTCATCATCTACTGTGTGGATGCCCTCACCGTCAACTACATGACCAAGGAAATGGATTCTGGATTTTAAAAACTCACACTTCGAGAGTTTAATTTTAAGGCCTGCTGTGGAAAGTTTTTCCAACACTTCACGCAGTTTAATCAGATGGGAATCAACGTCCTTACTGACTACTATTAGATCATCCAAATAAGCGCAGGCTTTTTGTACCAATCAATCCGGCAAACAGGGTGTTGATCATTCTTTGAAATGTTAGTGGGGCATTTCTGAGACCAAATGGCATCCGGAGGAACTCAAAGTGGCCTAGGGGCGTGCTAAACGCCGTGACCTCTCGTGATTTCCAATACCCACTAAGCAAATCTAAGTTGCTAAATATTGCATTATCCTTACCTAAGGATTGTATTATGTCACTCAAGACAGGCATAGGGTACCTATCAGGGATCCTTTGTTCACTGACGCGCCTGAAATCTATAACAGGGCGCCAGTCATCCACCATCCTTTTTAGGGACGAGGAATAAGGGGCTATTAAAGGGGGATTTAGAATGCTTAATAACATTCTCATCCAACATACCCTGCACCATATCTCTAACTACAGCGCGCTGGCTATGAGGTAGTCTGTAAGCTGGTACGTAGATAGGGTTTGTTCCCTCCTTTAGCGCTATATGATGGAATGTTAAATCTGTCTGACCTAGCTTTTCCCCTGGCAAGGCTACTATATTTCTATAGACAGCAAGCAGCTCTAAAAGGCGTGTCCTGCCCTGAGGATGATCGATCACCTTAAAATGTGGCGCTATTTGATCTATCCTGTCCTGCCGATTCTGTTGGTATTGCTTAACAATACTACCAATTGGGAATTTTGTAGGCTGTACTTCGACATTGTTGTGATATACTAGAAAATCGCACAAACAACATCCTTTCTTTAATATCCGTTGAACGCCTGTTCTATTCAGTATCAGGATGTCTGTCATACCACCTGGGCGTATGGTACTCAACGTAGATTCACACGATAGCCCTTTTACCTTGCACGTTTCCGGGAGACACACAACATCTGTGCCCGTGTACACGTCGGGTAATTCGACAGTTGCTTTGGTGATTTCCTCATTCTGGTTATGGAGAGTACTCTTCAAAACTGCTGGTACGATCTTCCAACTATAGCTGCTGTAATCACACTGGGAAAGTGTGGGTTTGAGGTCATGAGGTAGCTCTGACGCATGATCTGCCTTCCTCTTAATAGTATTGGTGGACAACACTTTCGATCTAGCGGTGAGCATAAGTTCAGAATGAATCATAGCGTTGTAGGAAACACCTTTAAACGTAATAGTATTATTATGTGGATGAACATCTATCATGTTCGTTCTAAGGGTTGGGAGACCAAGTAACCTGTCAGCTGGCAAATTGAACTGCTGAACTACATAAAAGTCCGCGTAGAAGGGAGAACCACATCTTGAAAATCTGAGTGGTAACGTCACCATTCCGTTAATGCTCAACTGAGTATCTGATACTTCTTCGAGCTCAGCGTTACTATGAGGGCCTGAGCTGCCACCATTTATGAGGGCCACTACTGCCACCATTTATGAGGGCCTCTGTGTGCCAGTAACAATTCCTTTTACTCTCATACTTATTACCATTGGTAGCGTGACGAGAGGAGGCTCGTGGGTAGATGTAATGATAGTATCAAGCAATAGGGAAGAAATAACGGTAAATACTGTAGGTAAATAATAGACACAATTATACAAATACAAAATTTATTTAAACATGAATATGAAATTAGGAGAAAGAATTTATTTGCACCAACAGACGAAATCTAGTACCAGGCCCTCAGGCTCAACATACTCACACCACTACTGGGTGGACATACTCAATAACACTTCCAACCCTACTGGGTGGACATACTCAATAACACATAACTCTTATAGTCACTTAGCACCATAAAGACCAGGGCAACTGCCACTACAACACTCAGTCATCAGGAGTGATACTCAAGCAACAGCCATGGGGTCCAGCCACCATGGAGTACTTTCCGACGAACTCTGAAGATCCCAGTGGATTAATTCCACCACACAAATAGCCCTACTGAGTTAGACACTCATCCGGTGATCCGGGGTCACCTCGCAGGCCGAGCGTTAGGGCCAGACGAGCCAGCTATGGGGGCCATAGGTAGTCTGAAGTGTCTGACGGCCGGGTCTCACGAAGGTAACTGATCCTACTGGACCTCGGACATCTCCCCAGACATAGTGGATACACCATCCACGCTACAGACACGGCCTAGGCTGCGTTAGGGACCTGTATGGATGAAGGGACGGGCACTCACTAACGGTGACAACAACATCACGTTTCAGGGGACGTTAAAGACGTAAATATGACTTCACTCAGAGCATATCAACTACGTTACTGTAACACTTGCACAATCAACTATTAATTGGGTCAAATCACTTAAAGAAGGGCGAATTACAACACATAGTGGAATGGCATACCTGTATGGATGAAGGGATGGGCACTCACTAACCGTAGAAATGCCCGCGGGGCCCTCACTCAAAATAGGCCAGGGAGTCCACCTACTTCTATTCCGATGAATTAATTTACTGTACACTCTGACGTTGAAACT